AAGGAAGGAAGGAAGGAAGGAAGGAAGGAAGGAAGGAAGGAAGGAAGGAAGGAAGGGCAGAAACCCAACAGTACCAGAAAGTCCATGTTGCCGGCTGGACACTTCACACATCCAGAATTTCCCACTGTATCCAGGGAGAAACCATTTGACCATGTACTGGTGGAGATGCACAGCTGGATCTAGACAACAAGGGAGGACCAAAAGGTTTGGAGGACAGAAAACGAAGAGTTTCTTTCTGAAAATCAGAATGAAGTGCAGAAAATCGCAAGAAACCAGATCTCACACGTTCTTGACCGCACGAAAAGATAAGAGACAACAAATTTAATTCACCGCTGAGGTGGCAGTGAGGGGGAGAGAATGGATCCATACCGGGATAGCTGCAGGCATAAACAAATAAAATTGAGATCCATTCAAAGCAGCATTCAAATTGCTCATTTCCTATTAAGAAAAATGAGGGGGAAATCTGCAATAAAGTGAGAATTAGTAAAACCAAATAAGGAAAAAAATAAAGCTATAAAACTAATGAGGAAACACTTAGCCCAGCGCTGTCTGGAGGGTGAATCAATACCCAGCTGATTAAATATATTGGAGCTTCTTCAAAAACAGAGGGCTATTAGCCAAGGGGAACAGGCAATTTTTAGAAGCCCAACCTTTCCAAATTGCAAAAGAGGGGAAAAACACCAGAGCTGCAGAGCCCAGAGCTTCTTCAGGCAAGTTGGCCAGGCCTCCTACCTTGTTTTTACTGAAAATATTCTTTTTCTTGAAGGAGAATAAGACGGTGTCCCGGAAGTCTGCTGGGTGCTTCACATGAACGTCCTCGGCGCGGTACTGGAGGATCCGGGAAGTCTTGTTGATGATCCAGTAGGGACTATAGACCGAGAGGGTGGTGTGGGTGCTGGACTTCTTGACGTGAAGGTAAACATCCAACGTAGCCCCTTCGGCAGAATGTGAGGTGAAGCAGACAGGGAAGAACTCCGGCAGGGCATCATGGACACGAAAGCGCCCGCTCCAGTCTCTGCCCTGGTATTTGACCACGATCAGCTCCATGACCTCCCCGCTGATTCTCGAGTGGAGAACATCGGCAGCACTTCCTTCGTGCAGCTCGTGGGCCTTCGCGGTGCCCTGCAAAGAGCATCGAAAGCCATCAAGGGCCTGAGAAGGCGAGCAGAACCGGGTGGGGCCGAGCGGGTGGAGGGAATAGCAATAGCAATAGCAGTGAGACTTATATACCGCTTCATG